TTGAAAACAGGTAGCGATCACCGAATGGTTAGAGGCACACTGAACCTAAACGTTAAGTTGGAGAGGTCTCGTCTAATGAAGTCAACGCTCCGTCCCCCTCGTGCTCTGTTCCAAAGTCCCGAAACCTTTTAGCTCGAGTTACAAAACCGTATTCAGTACCTAGAAGACTGCAATGAAGTGGACGATATGAATGACAAGCTCGTGGAAACTGTCCATGCGGTCGGAGCTAAGTTCTGCAAGACCCGCCGCAGAAGAACACAAAAACTCTCCGATCACACTCTTAATCTCATGGCTGTTAGACGGGAGATGAAGCTACATTCTTTAACAGACTTGACAGCATACAGACATCTGAACAGACAGATCTCCAAATGCATGCGGCGGGACTTACGCAACTTCAATACTGCTCGTATTGAAGAAGCGATCGAGCGGAACCAAGGCTCCAAAGTCTTTGCCAGAGATCTGTCTGCAAGAAAGAGCCAAATGTCAAAGCTGAAGACAGAATGTGGCAGCATCGTTTCCGGGACACCTGAGATTTTGAGTGAGATTGAGAGGTTCTATGGGCAGCTGTACACGTCATCGTTGGAGCCATACGCAAGTGTGAGTAACGATCCAAGAGCGAGTCTCATCCGACACTATTCCGAAGATATCCCGGACGTCAGTCTGAGCGAGATTAGAGCTCTCCAGCACCTTAAAATCGGTAAGGCCCCAGCCGAGGATGGAATTACAGCGGAGCTTCTGAAAGCGGGTGGAAGACCGGTACTTGAAGTCCTTCAGAAGCTCTTTAATTTCGTCTTCCATGGTGGCATTACACCGGAGGCGTGGAGCAGAAGTGTGGTGGCCTTGTTCTTCAAGAAAGGTGACAACGCTCTCTTGAAGAATTACAGACCGATTTCCCTTCTGAGCCGCGTCTACGTGCTGTTTTAGAGAGTCATTACGAATCGTCTGGACGAAAGACTTGACGACTTCCAGCCTCCCGAACAAGCCGGTTTCCGAAAGGGCTTTAGCACCATAGACCTCATATATACCCTTCGGCAAATTGTACAGAAGTCCGAAGAGTACAATTTGCCACTATGTCTGGCGTATGTGGACTATGAGCAAGCCTTTGAATCTGTCAAAATTTGCGCGGTGCTGCAGTTCCTACAGCGGAGTTGAAGCACTAAGCTCGAAGTTGTTGACGAGTATGTTTACCTGGGACAAATAGTCCGACTAGGTAAGTCCAACTTCGACCGAGAGGTCAATCGACGGATTCAACTCGGCTGGGCAGCGTTCGAGAAGCTACGACACATTTTCTCGTCAGACATACCTCAAAACCTTAAAACGAAATTGTACAACCAGTGCGTGTTGCTAGTGATGACTTACGGAACTGAGACGTGGTCGTTCACAGCTGGCCGTATGAGGAAGCTCAAGGTCGCTCAGCGAGCGCTATGCTCGGAGTTTCTCTGCGTGATAAACTTAGAAATGAGGATATCCGCAGTAGAACTAGAGTAACCGACATAGCTCAACGGATTAGTAAGCTGAAGTGGCAGTGGGCCGGCCATATAGCTCGAAGAACCGACAACCGGTGGGGAAGAAAGGTTCTCGAGTGGCAGCCTCGTACCGGTAGGCGAAGTGTAGGGCGACCCCCCACGAGATGGAGTGACGACCTGGTAAGGTATGCAGGAAGTCGATGGATGCAGGTGGCTCATGACCATGCTTTGTGGCATTCCTTGGGGGAGGCCTATGTTCAGCAGTGGACTTATGAAAGGCTGTAATGAATGAAGAGTGGAAGCATGAATTGTTGGGCTGTGCAATTGTGAGGAGCTATGGTGACGACTATGAGGATGATGATTATGAAAAGTAATTATCTATTGAATAGTATGTGCATACAGTACAAAAATATGTAGAATATACCTATTTTTGTCATACAACTCACGTTGAGTATTGACTTTTTATAGCACGCCTATGGCCATGGCCCATGGCTCTGTCGTCACGCCACAAGCGAAACATATCGAAGCCTAAATCAATATGTTGGGTATGACCGGGATTCGAATTCCGGCTTATTTCTAAAAAAATCAATTATTGACTTTTTCCGTCAAGAAATTTACAGTAGCTGCCCGAAGTCAGGAATTTGGCGGTGACACCCCCGTGCCTCGGCAAGCACGTAATGTCGTGGGTCCTGCGCCTAATCTCTCGCCAGTCGTTTTCATTTACCGTCCCATCGGACAAGGAGAATGAGGCAATGGATAGTGCGCCTACACTTGGGCGCTTTAATTCTTCCTGCGCCGAAGGCTAGTCTTCATTGAGGCTGGCTGCCGTGACCGAAATTCGGCCTGGAGGACATTATACATTATTATAATGTTCAAAGTAGTGTTCAAAGTAGTGTTTTCTACTTACTTATAAGCCGACAGATAGAGAATGACTTAAAATCGCCGTTCGTACATTTTTGTGCGAGGAACTCTTAATAAATAAATAAATCAGGCGTTACTTCGCGGGAATCCATTAATTTCGGATATATTTCGTAGCTTCCGATCAATGACGTAATACCATCTCTTTTATAACAGACTAGCTATTCCCGCGACTTCGCCCGCGTGTAATTAGGGTTTTAATTTTTTTGCGCGTAATTTAACTTATTGTTTTATGTCAAATTATGCAGAAATTTAAATTATATCTTAGTTTGTTTTCCTGTTGCCACCCCTTTATGTAAGGCAATGTAACAACTGATTTCTTATATTTACGCGAACACTACACATTTTTAAATAAAACTAAATTTACAGATTTTATCGCGTATATTAACTTATTTTTATATTCCCGACGTTTCGGGTGCTTTCCAGCACTCGTGGTCACGGGGGAATGAGTTGTTTGACGTCCTGCTGTCATAGTTAGCCCGGCTACCTTCAGTTTTTTTATATTAATTTTTGGTTCGATTTACGCAGAATGAACTTACAGTATCTTGAAGTCTAGCAGTGGTATACTTGGGTTTGGATTTGATTTTATTAATTATGGGATCCAAAAGCAGATGGCAGCACCCATCCATCTTCTCTATTGAAATTAGGATGTTTTTTAATTTCAATAGCCTCGCGAATCATCCTTGGGAGGAATCGGTGTTCTTTTGCGAGGATTTGTGGTCTATCAAATCTAATGTAATGGCGGGGACGATCTTGAATATGTTCACAAACTGCAGACTTCCTGATACGTCGGTGCTTCACGTCAGCTATATGTTCTTTAACGCGGGTTTTAATAGATCTTTTTGTTTGTCCTATGTACGAGAGACCACATTCACAATCCAGCTTGTACACTCCTGCATCTTGTAGAGGGATATGACACTTAACGGATGGTAAAAATTGACCAATCTTCTTCAGCGGCTTGAAGTACGTATTAATGGAAGCTCGCTTCAAGATGTAGCCAACCTTGTCTGTGACTCCTCTGACATAGGGTAGTACAGCAGGCACACGCTCGACTATGGCTGGCTTCACTCGGTCACTGTGACGTAGGCGCGGGACCCGAAGCTTGTTGTCTTGCAGTACTTGCTCGACGTGCTGAAGCTCGGCGGCCAGATGTTTTCTGTCACAAATCCCTAGTGCTCTCTGAAACAAAGATTTTCCCACGGTAGCTAACTGTGAAGGATGATGGTGAGATTCACCATTTAAATATCGGTTGGTATGGGTATTTTTTCTGTACACAGTATGACCAATAGTGTTATCAGGATTTCGGATGACTAAAACATCTAGAAAAGCTAAAGTATTGTTTGCCTCTAACTCCATTGTGAATTGTATTTTAGGTTTTATGGCATTAAGGTGGTTTAAAAATGCAGTTACTTTGTCAGATGGTAAAATTATGAAAGTATCGTCTACGTACCGCTTGTAGAATCTTGGATTTAAAGGAGCAGTAAGAAGGGCTTTCTCCTCACAGTCCTCCATGAATATGTCGGTGACTACGGGAGATATAGGTGAGCCCATTGCCACTCCGTCTACTTGCATGTAGAACTCTTCTTTCTACAATAAATAGCCAGATGTGAGGCAGTGTTTGAGTAATATTGCATATTCTGTAGGCATGTTGTTATCTTCTAGCTTTCTAGTAACAATTGAGATGCAGTCTTCAATAGGTAGGCATGTGAATAGTGACTGAACATCAAAACTGACGGTCAACGGTTGTTGCGTTTCGTTTCTACGTTGACATGGATGTTTGGCATTTGATTTGATAGTTAATTTTTGGTATTTTTTTTCCAAAAATTAACTATCAAATCAAATGCCAAACATCCATGTCAACGCAGAAACGAAACGCAACAACCGTTGACCATAGACGCAAACAATAAACAACGCACGGTCTATAATTTGTCAAAAGAAACACTGGACGAACCTACAATAAAAGTATTGTCGAAAGGCTTAAATTTTGCTATAATGCCGCAAAAAATCCCGTACGAGGAAATTATCTGTAGTGTTGAGGATTGTCTGTTTAAGAATAATATCGGTAAAGAGGATTTAGAGGCTATACGTCAAGACATTTCGTCCTTGTTACGTCGAAGTTCAGCGCCGAAACTAAATCTTCCCAAAGACGAATTTAAAGCGTTGTACAACTTACGCAACAGACCCGAGCTCACGATTCTCCGCGCGGATAAAGGAAATGCTACGGTAATAATGGACACGTCAGAGTATAATTTCAAAATACAACAACTTTTATCGGACGTAAGTACATACAAAAAGGTCAAAATAGACCCTACAACTAATACACTCAAAACAACTACTGATTTAATAAAGAAATACTCCGAAAAATTAGATCTTGACGTGAATTCGACAATACCATCATGTGCCAAACCACCGAGGTTGTATGGGTTACCGAAAATACACAAACCAAACGCTCCACTACGTCCTATAGTAAGCCAGATCGATTCACCAACTTATAAGTTGGCTCAACACTTGGCAAAAATACTGTCACCACTAAGAGGATATACCAGAGCACACACAAAGGATTCATACCATTTTGTTAGTGAGATTAAAGACCTACATCTCGCTGACAATGAAACTATGGTCAGTTTTGATGTTCAGTCACTATTCACATGCCTACCTATTGAAGACTGCATCTCAATTGTTACTAGAAAGCTAGAAGATAACAACATGCCTACAGAATATGCAGTATTACTCAAACACTACCTCATATCTGGCTATTTATTGTGGAAAGAAGAGTTCTACATGCAAGTAGACGGAGTGGCAATGGGCTCACCTGTATCTCCCGTAGTCGCCGACATATTCATGGAGGACTTTGAGGAGAAAGCCCTTCTTACTGCTCCTTTAAATCCAAGATTCTACAAGCGGTACGTAGACGATACTTTCATAATTTTACCATCTGACAAAGTAACTGCATTTTTAAACCACCTTAATGCCATAAAACCTAAAATACAATTCACAATGGAGTTAGAGGCAAACAATACTTTAGCTTTTCTAGATGTTTTAGTCATCCGAAATCCTGATAACACTATTGGTCATACTGTGTACAGAAAAAATACCCATACCGACCGATATTTAAATGGTGAATCTCACCATCATCCTTCACAGTTAGCTACCGTGGGAAAATCTTTGTTTCAGAGAGCACGAGGGATCTGTGACAAAAAACATCTGGCCGCCGAGCTTCAGCACGTCGAGCAAGTACTGCAAGACAACAAGCTTCGGGTCCCGCGCCTACGTCACAGTGACCGAGTGAAGCCAGCCATAGTCGAGCGTGTGCCTGCTGTACTACCCTATGTCAGAGGAGTCACAGACAAGGTTGGCTACATCTTGAAGCGAGCTTCCATTAATACGTACTTCAAGCCGCTGAAGAAGATTGGTCAATTTTTACCATCCGTCAAGTGTCATATCCCTCTACAAGATGCAGGAGTGTACAAGCTGGATTGTGAATGTGGTCTCTCGTACATAGGACAAACAAAAAGATCTAGTAAAACCCGCGTTAAAGAACATATAGCTGACGTGAAGCACCGACGTATCGGGAAGTCTGCAGTTTGTGAACATGTTCAAGATCGTCCCCGCCATTACATTAGATTTGATAGACCACAAATCCTCGCAAAAGAACACCGATTCCTCCCAAGGATGATTCGCGAGGCTATTGAAATTAAAAAAACATCCTAATTTCAATAGAGAAGATGGATGGGTGCTGCCATCTGCTTTTGGATCCCATAATTAATAAAATCAAATCCAAACCCAAGTATACCACTGCTAGACTTCAAGATACTGTAAGCTCATTCTGCGTAAATCGAACCAAAAACTAATATTAAAAAACTGAAGGTAGCCGGGCTAACTATGACAGCAGGACGTCAAACAACTCAGTCCCCCGTGACCACGGGTGCTGGAAAGCACCCAAAACGTCGGGAATATAAAAATAAGTTAATATACGCGATAAAATCCGTAAAATTAGTTTTATTTAAAAAAATGTAACAACTTTAACCGCATTTATGTTATTGAGATATTCGATATATTTCAATAATTGATTCTTGTTCATATTGCCTCTTCTCCCAACAAAATTTATTAATATACTATTAGGGTTTAATTTACTAGTTAAAATTTTATTCATAATATTACTGAATGATGCTCCAGGCATGCAGTAATTAATTATCTGTTGCCTTTTTAAATAGTTATTTAATGATATACCCAAGTTTTTGCCTATGTCATCACTATACACTTTATTATTTTTTTCATTATATGAATTACTTTTTAAATTTATCTGCTTTGTTATGGTACTATTATAGAGTGTAAGTAAAGAAAATGAAGTATTACTGCTTGTCATATTATTAACACACACTGTCCCTAAAGAACGTGGCATTGAGCGCTGATATTCATTTTGATATTTTAATAAGGAGTCAAAACGTTCTTCGTTATATTTACATGACTTTACCAGATTATCCATGGCCAGTATGTGTTCTTTTACTCATTCCCTGTTCTCAGTCCCTGATGAGATCCTGTTCCCCAAAATACAGTTTGTTATTGTTTGTTGTCCGCCAGTAAATTTCATAATATGTAATTAAAATTTAATATATATTTGCTGTTCTTTGTGTTCACCTCTGTAGCTCTATTCTAGAAATAAATAATAAATTTTATTGATTTATTTTTTATTTAATTTTTCATCGTCGTCGTAGATTATCGTCTACTTGTTCGTCTGGCCGCGTGTTTCCACCAAGCCGTGGATGACAGGTCGCCGGTAAATTCGCACACCTTCTTTGTATACATACAAATATGTATGTATTTAACTTACATTACGGATCGTGGTGTAAAATAAAAAGATCTCAACGTTTAGCAATTGAATAATTTATTTTGCTTTTATAGGCGACTGTAGCAGCGATAATAGTTGTAGGTTCAAATTCGTCATTCGACTATTGTCGTGATTCACTAGGAGTGAACACAAGAATGAATGCTCATCTGGAGTGAATACTTTGGTATTAGTGAAATGATTAACATTGCTAGTATTTTTATTTTTATTTTCTATTTATACTTTCTAGCTCTACTTCACCGTTCGTATTGGAATGTCACGGTTCTCTTTTCATTTTTTGTCTTTTATAAAAGAGATGGCCGGCTAGGTAGCAGTGGCATGAAGTTTACTTTTAAAGTGAATTCTGAAATTTAAGCTAAATAGAAGTAACAGTTGAGCCTTAAATTAAGGCTAAACAGAACCTTGGCTTGGACAATCGTCGTCGCAATGCTCCCGCATTTGAACAAAGCGTTAATGTCCGCCGCGGGAGACAATAAAACTACCTCTACTATAGAACTACGGCCCGAAACGGCATCCTTGTATAAATTAAATTTACCCCACCATTACAATTTAGATGAGCAGAGTAAATATGGCCACTTAATTAAACACTTAAAAAACAGTTAGCCAAAATTCATTACAACAATATGTTATTTCTACATGTTTAATAGAGTAACAACAGATAGATTAAGGGTGAAAATACCTGATGCCCTGCTACTAAATATCGCGTTATTTTCTCGATCTGCTACAGAAGTCAACCCCGCGCTGTGCATGCACTTCGGGACGCTTATATGAAGCTTCCGTACTCCCGCTCTCCCAGTAAAATGGATGTACAATTACCAAAGAAAGAAGCAAGGTATCACGCATGAAGTATTTTACAAGTTATGTTCCGTTACTCCTCAATAGATTGTCTCATTGGCGGGATTTGTCATAGTTGTTACGCTTGGCAGGTTAATTCTTATTTTTTACGCTGCTGCCCATCTCCTGGTTTTATTTCCTCTGTCACCTCTTACAGAATGATATGAGTTAGGGGACATTTCTATACTGCCACTACATGGTTAAGTGCGTAGAAGCTAGGTATGTGTTATCTAGAGTTATGTCACATTACTTTGAGATAATTAAGTGACACGTGGCGTTATCGCTAGTAATTGGATTTTCAAAGGTTTCCTCTTCTCATAATATTGTTTATTGAGACATTTATGTTACTAAGGTAACATAACTTATATGTTAGTCTACTATTTATTGTTTTTTTTTATATACAATTACGGGGATATTTATTTGTTAATTTACAATCTTTATTGCATTTACCTATAAAGATAGATATAATGGGCGGACTTAATGCCTAAAATTATTCTCTACCAGTCAATCCATGGAGTGATAAAATATGACTTAGGTGTAACAGTAAAACGAAAATATATATATATATATATATATATATATATATATATATATATGCATGTACCAAAATACATTTTAGTCTTAGATAAAATGAATACATGTACAATCGTGTACATACATTAAAATTGTCAATATGTACACATATACAAATGTATACACACATAATATATAAATACAAAATAAATACGTACAAATAACTACGACTAACTCTACTTTTATTTTACATCTATTGATTCTGCGCTAGAGGCGCACGAACCAACTTCTTGACGAGCTTTGGTTAGGCGCTTTTCTGATCTCATCGTGCGAGAAATTCTAAAGAAGTGCATGGTTATAGCCTAGCTAAGACACCTTCATCTTTTCTCGAATGAGAATCGCATAATTTAGGCGTTGTGTGTTGAAGGACTAAGCTGGAAATCGGTAACAGTGAAAAAGGTAGGCAGTTCTCATCACTCATTAATTGAAACTCGTTCTGAATTGTGTGTTCGATACACTTTGTCCTATCACTAACTTAAGGCACTGTTAAATTATACATATTTTACAACTTTTAAACACTACAGTGATTTACTATTTATTATTTTTAATTTTTAAGCTGATTTTGATGTGAAACATCTATTGGCGCGCCTTTACAGTAAAACTTTTAATGTATAATATCGTGTCATATTGATCTCTACTTGTCTTTTTTGTCCTCACATTAAGATATTAATCTCTAAAATCCTATGACTACGTAGCTTATATACCATCCAAAAATGTTTTTTGGTTCCACCCCAGTCGAGGAAAATTAAAAATAAATTTTCAAATTCATAATACCGTTTAAAGTTTCATTGCCAAAGCACGCGACACTTCATTAATCTGGCGATGTCGTTCATGTTTTTGCTGAATTAACTTACACAGAATACACACCGTTGCAATGACGTAAATTTGTAATTAGGAATAGACGTTTCTACGTAATTTTATTTCATTACTAGCTGTTCTACGCGACTTCGCCCGCGTATAATTTAGGGTTTTAATTTTGTTGCGCGGAACCCTAATTATTTTTCAAAAATATAAGTAGCCTAAGTTACTTCTTATAACATGAGCTATCTACCAGTGCAAGTTCCGTCAAAATCGGTCCATCCGTTTCGGAGATTAGCCGGAACAAAGAGACAGACAGGCAGACATACAAAAATTTTAAAAATTGTGTTTCTGTTATAGGTACCGTATATACTTTTATATGCAATTAGTAAAAAGCTGTTATTTTGAAATAACAAACAGACACTTCAAATTTATTTATTTTTATAGATAATTAGGTATTTATATTTTTGAATGTCGAGCGCAAAGCACATAGGTATGTTCTACTAGCGCCTAAAAATCAAGAATCCAACGTTTTGTTGTATGAAATCGTATCCAGCAATCATATTATACATATAAATTATATAAAAAGCACATTTTTAGAAAGATAAATGATTGTTGAACTTATTAATATTATTTTTAAATCGATTAATTGCTATTTTTACATAAAAAAAGGGTTTTAGTGGCTGATTGTGTGCATTTATCATGCCCCCAAGGCTTGTAAACACAATAACTTTTTAAAATATCAATTGTTTAACTCAATCAATTTTTTAATCTCTTCATCTATCATGTGGAAAGCCACTGAATGTAAATGGAAGTGTAATTTTGTTTTGTTTAGCTATAATTAATTTTTTTCGGCTCAAAAATGGCGAAATTTCCGGTGATTTCGCAGCCTTGTGTTAGAATTTATTTCAGTAAACAGAGACTACCTGTGCCTCGCTCACTCGCTCGCTTAGTTCGGCGCACAGAGTACTTTTTATATACTGAAAGTTTGGCGTCAACCGCCGTTGTGAGTGGATACTTTAATGGTTGTTTGCAGCGGCTCAAAAAGATCACTGTACAAATAAATACACAATATTCGAAAAACAAATTTCATACATACTTGATTATTATAACAATCAGAAATTTTTATTACAATATTTTAAAAGCACAGAATAAATAATAGTAGTACGTACTAAAAGTAAGTAGGATGTAACATTTATACTTGAATACGTCTTGGACTTTTTGGAGTGACATGAATGATGATATGATGATCATATGAGCATTATGAGTCGTGCACTTTATATTTTCCAAACCTTTTCAAATTGAAGTTTGACATAAAATTTTCGGAAAATTGGAAGTATAATAAGGTTATTAGTGAAAATTTGTGTGTATTTAAACTACTTTAAAAAAATTCCATACAATCATGCTATACGTAATTTTTTTAATGCGAAGGCATGCTCAATCGGGATTACCAATCATTTTATTTTAATATATTGAGGACTGATTTTGTATCATCAGAACAGATAAAAATTATTCATAGGGCATATGTCATGGGCAATATCATTTATCCATCCATTCATTATAGCATGTGAAAAACCACAAAAGTACACTGGTGAGCATAGGCCTCGTATGGTTGATTTTACCATAATGAGGGCTCGCTAGTTGGGACTGATGTGAACTT